ATGATCCCATGGAATGCCCTCCCTGTAAATAACGCTCGGAGTTCTGGGGAATGAGGAATTGCAGCAAACCCCCCCGTTGGGATGGGGCAGGAGATGCCCGAATGCCTTTGCACATTCCTTATCCTCCCCCCTCCGCTCCTGGCTGTGCTTGGAGCCGTTTCCTTTGGGACAGGCCGGGTTCTGCAGCTGCTCTGCAGCCCAGAGAGGCCGGGGCTGCCCTGCATCCCCGCAGTGCCCAGGCCAGGCTGGCAGCACCTGGGGCAGTGGGAGCTGTCCCTGCCATGGAGGGAGTGGGAATTAAATGATCTTTAAGGCCCCTTCCAGGCCGAAGCAGTCTGGTATTCTGAGGTTCTCCTGGGATGTTTTTGTGGCAGTGAAGGAATGCTGAGCTGCCTCAAAGCCAGGTCCTTTCCTGCCTGTCCCTCTCAACTCCATCATTCCTTGACTTTGATAGAACTTCTGAAAACTGCTTTTACTTTTCTTGGAATCCAGTTGACTATTAGGTGATTAAAAGAGAAGCCACCATTCTCACACTTTATTTTTGTCTGGTTTAGCCCAGCTGTGCATTCCTTGGGCCTCTGTGCCTGGTGTGTGGAACTGTGAATAGGCTTTTGAACAGAAACTGTTACTTTTTGGCTCTTTTTTTCAGTGTATGAAAGTTAAGACTGCTGAGTTCTCATTAATTCTTTTTTTTTTAAATAATACTTTTGAATTCATTTAATAATTAACACTTTCTTGATGCTATTACCACTTTTAAAATAACAGGTTGTGTCGCTCCTCTCTTGTTGCACAGTCTGTATTGAGTTATTCTGAATGTTTTTATTATAATATGGGGATGAACTACATGTAAAGCTACAGAATAGTCAACAATATTGACAATAAATACAGTTAATTCTTGTCATTAATTTTTCAGTTCTGATGGGTTTTACCTTCATTCTTCAGAACTGGAAGGGGTTTTTTGTTTCAAATATTTGTGTGTATATATATATGTAGGCAACTCGTGGGGTCATGTAAAGAGGTCCTGCAAAAAGATCCTGCAAATTTCCTTGGGAACAACAAAAATGGTCTAAATTTTTGTACAGAAATCAAGATTTAGTGTAAATGTTGAAGAGTTCTGCGGGAGGGCCTCGTGCTGTGGGATCCTCGTGGATGTTGTGTCATTTTTGTGTGTTTGGCTTTGAAACCTGGCTTAATGGAGAAAATCAGAGCTGTGTGAGCAACAAATAAACCAAAGTGTCTGTGTGGAGCTGGCCAGGGAATTCCTTGGAGATCCACCATGCCCAAAGGTGCTGCAAAGGTTTAGGTGATAAAAGGAGGAAATCCTGGATTTTCCTTGATGTGCAAATCTTCCAGAGAAATCCCAA